AAAAGATACTGAGCCATTTTCCATACTTGGCATTTTTGTTTATCTCATTTATGGATTGATGCTGTATGTGCAGACTAGGGTCTAGGGCAGATTTGAAAGGGAGTTGTCTGTCCTGGACCTTGCTGCTTCTTATCATTTTAATAAAATACAAATTTGAGTTACTACCTTCCATCCCTCCTGCTTTCTCCATTCTTCTGGGTCCTCCAATGGTCTCTGTTGACCCTGCCAGTGAAGACTTGCAGTCCCTTTTAGGGGGACAGTTGGCAGGGCTTTGAGCGTTCACACCCAGCCTAGCTTTCAGCATGTGGGCTTCTTTATCAGTGCATCTCCAGACCTGGGAGAGAAGCTCCAGTGAGAACTGGCAGTTTCCAATTACTTGCAATATTTGGACTTATTATTAAAGATACCTGTTTGAAAAAATGACTTCTGTGCTTTTTCAGTAGTGTAGTTCTGGATCTGGACCCTCTTCTGGAAAAGTTATATGTAGAGGAAAATGGCATTGAAGAAGAGGTCAGAATTCAGCCTGTAGAATACACAAAGGAATTATTTGCCTGGCATCTAAACTGCCACTTTTATTTCCACATTTTAAGGAGAGTCCTCTTTTCTCATTGTATTTCTGGTCTCTACTGCTTTGGGGACATGTTTAAGGAGGCAAACTGCAGGCAGTGACTAATGAAGTGTCTCAGATGTCTTTCCATGATGAGACAGCCACCAGTATGGAAAATACTGCACTTCTTCTGGGGGGAATTTTGTCTCTTGCTCTCTGCTATAGGAAACCTGTTTTTTTTTTTTTGTTCTTCTTTATTATAGCTTTTAGCAGAGGAGGAAGGTTTTAGGGGGTTTTGGGCAATTCAGCAAGATCCTTTTTGCTAGGGCTTCAGCAGATTCTCACCACTGTGAGGTTCAGGATAGACTTCGTTTCCAGCTTATACCCAGTCTCAGCTGTTACAGATTTACCTGGATTTGTCGCCCCATACAGCCCATCACCGTGATGCTGCACCATCAGTTGGTAAGACCTGCCAACCCTACTGCAGTTGTGAGTAATCTGGCCTCAGCTGTGGCACCAGGCAATGTAGTGAAGCAACCGCAGTGGTAGCCCCCAGCATGCTAGTATGCAGGCAAGTGGCTGTTGCCAGTGCATGGATCAGTTCTTGTGATGTGTATAATGAAAGAAACAAGAGTGCCTAGATTTTGCATCTGTGCAATGTAGGATCTTTGGTTGGTTGTGATATAGCTGTATGGGGCTTTTACTCTTCAAAAGGTTGGGATTGATGTGTAACAGGACTGTCCATCAACAGAAATTACTGAAGGCAAGACATGGAAGCTGGGGCAGAATGTGGGAAGGAAGCAGAGAGAAGAGAAAATAGAATTGGTACAGGGTAATTGCAGGAGGGCAGGAGAGGCGTGACATTGGCTTTTATGGGGAGCACATCCCCTTGGTGTGGATCCAGGGAGAAACAGGCAGCTGAGGTCAGTGTTGTCCTGTGGAATTACCTGAGCTAAGCCTAACCCGTGTTGGCACTGAGGGTGTCTTGTGGTAGCTGGAGATGTGTCAGCTCCAGGAGTTCCCCAGCAATGGTAAGTCTCTGGCAAGGTGAAACTGAGTCTCTGGCAAGGTGAAACTGAGACCCTGGAAGGTGACACAGGGTTCAGCACACAGGCTGCTGTGCCACTGCTGCTGCCAGTGGTGGTGGTGATGCCAGTGCAGGGAGCACAGACAGCAGAGTTACAGAGTTACAGTGCTGCCCAGCTCCTTCTGCCTTTCAGGGTCTGTCTTTTCCCAAGTGGTACTGTGTGAGGCACTTGTGGCCAGGGATGGATGTAGGCCCCCTGTACTTGGTGCTGCATCCCTGGAAAATAAGTAGTCCAGCACTGAACCAGCACTTAGCTGCACTTTCAGACAGAACTGTCCATGCAAAAAGGAGTTTCCTGCACTCCAGTGCATTGTTTGCCAGCTTTTCCCAAAATCCTGTGTTTGAGAGTGTCTTGTGAGGAGTCCAAATGCTTTTTTGAAAATGATCATTAACAGACTGTCCTTCAGAGACCCTGAATGTATTATCTTGAATGCAAATGTATAAAGTGCCTTTGCTCATCATGCTTACAACCTTGGTATTGCAGGCATGAAATCCTGCAAATGAGAAGGGCTTAAAAGTATGCACAAATGTGAAACTAATTAGCTTGGTGTCCTTGTCCAAGCTGAATGATGTGCTGAAAGAAAATAAACATTCACAATGAAACACAGCATGGATCTAAACAAATTCTTTCAGCTTTAGTAATAAGATGTAGTGCTTCCTTACTAAATGAGTAACTGGAGAATTTTTCTGTGTTAAGGCTGGGGTTGTACTCGGACACCATCATCACCAGCACTGCATGGTTCAGCATGGACCTGCTTTTCCAAAGGGCTTTTGTCACAGAGGCTGGGCCAGAATCCTTCTGTCCTGTCAAAGTGTTTCTTTGTGCAGACAATCGTGGTAGCTGCATATGTCAACTAAGCATGCAGCTGCACGCATTTTTTTCCTGTTGCTTTGGACTCCTGCCTTTTAGAGATCAGGCCGTGAGTGATCATGGGTTTTAAATTTGCTTTGCAACTAGTATGATCCCTGAGAGTGCCTTCATTTCCACAAGTAGCTGGTCAATGGATTTGTCTTTAGATAAAGAATTTTCTGTACCCTGCCCTGAGTGCAACTTGTCAGCGGCAGGGAGGATTGTAGCTGCAGTTCTGTCTGCTGTGAAATTCCCAAGATTCCCATCACCACCCTCGTTTAAACATGCCCCAGCCCCTCTATAAACAAGCGAGACACCCTGCACCCTGGCTGGCAGCCAGGGATATTGGGCGCTCTGGCGGGAGAAAGAAGTGAAGCACAGAAAAGAGTGTCGAGTCATGAATCATCTCAGTGAGGATTGACAGCCACCATCAACAAAACCAGGCAAACCTGGGGTCACTGCTTAACAAGCAGTTTATTTCTTGTTGAAGTTACGGTGTACAGGTGAGCGCTGCAAAGGCAGCAACACACCTTGCACAATAGGGCACCTCTTCTCCATGTCCTGTTGCAGCAAAATACCTGTAGGGCTGTGGAGGTAGTGTATGGACTTCTCAGCTGTTTCTGGCTGGTTTCCTAAGGTGACAAAGCCTATGTAATTGTTATGTTTACCATGGGCCCTTTCGACAACTTCTGAATGTGGTTGGACAGTTTCAGCCAAAGAGAAGAGTAGAAATTTCTGAGGTTGTTACATTTCTACAAATTTTGAGATGCTCTAGAGGTGGACAGAAGAATCTGGCCCAGTTCAGAACCACACCATGGGAGAGGCATGGAGAGCACAGCTGGTACAGACCCTGGTCTGCCAGCTGTGACCCATATATGTCAGGTGTGTTGTTGTGTGCATTGGTACCACAGCCAGCACACACGTACATCAGGAGTATCCAGAGCAGGGAATGGAAGAGGTGTGAAGAGAAAGACAGGATTAACGTAGTGCAAAAGAGACATACAAAGGCAAAGGACACCAATGTAGAAATCGGCTCACCAGCTGTTTCCTTCTGTTCCAAGATCCTTATCCAGACCACCTTGTGCTTCTTAATTCTGCAAAGAAATCTAGACAGCCTGTGCTCGTGATTGAAGATTTAGATACTCCTCTGTAGCTTCACACAGTCAGTGTGAAATTCAGTTGGCTCTATCCTAAGTTCCTGTTTGACCACGTTTGAAGCTTGAAAATGGTGGCTTCATCCAGAGGGACTTCGGGGGGGGCGATTTAGGTGCAGCCCACCAGCTCTTGGCAAATTTCCAAGGTGGCAAGGCTTCTTTTGTTGTGAAGTCCTTGATGCCTGTTCAATATGCGCTGTCCTTTGCCTCAGGTGTATGGGACAACTAAGACAACTAAGGGTAGGGGGATATTACATGACACGTAAAGTTTACCATGGATACTGCCAATGCAGAAAGTTCATGCACCCACAGCCTTATCTTTGGGGTTGTTTTTGGCACAAACAACCTCATACCCAAGTAGGAACCTTAATTTTTGCTTTATGGGGTATCCTACCACATTACTCTGGAAGGGCTGTAGCTCTGTTTTGCAAGTGGTTCTCCTGCTGCACAACTGATGCCAGTGGATCCTTGCAATTAATTGCACACCCAGGGGGTTCCTCCTTCATCTGTGCCACACTACAGAGCTTCTCATCAGGGATGATTTGCTGGGTCTTCAGTGTGCTCTGTGATTTTTGGGTCACCTTGACCAGCCACCATCCTCTCCATTTGAATAGGGAGCACATGGCCCCTACTTCTGCAGGGTTATACAAGGAAAGCCGAAACTTTCTTGTCAGAGGCAGGGGAGCAAATTCAGTCTCCAGCAGACCTGGAACAACAAGCCGCTTGGAGAAGGTGTGCTTCCAGGACATGTGCCAGCACTGAACCAGCACCAGTGGCAGGTTTACAGAAATGCCACAGGCAAAACGAGAGCTCTGGTAATTCACAGGCTCCCCAGGTTTGACAGGCATTCATCCAGCCTCACCTCTTGTATAAGACTGGCCCCTTCATTTCATGTAGTTACCCCTGTCCCACACCCAATAATATGTGCTTGTCAGCAGTGCTTTTGGGAAGTTAACCAGCCTCAGTGCAGAATCGAATGGAGACAGGGAACCTACCATGTCCATGGGTTGATCAGCCACGCTGTACAAAACAGTGGTTTATTTCTCATCAGGTATTGCCTGCTTATGGCATCTGGCTGTGGTTCCCGTTCTTCCTTTCTTGGGAGATTAAAGACTTTTTGTGTGCCACATATTTACTCCCTAGGATTGCACTGGCATAAAGGCATGTTCTTCTATTTGAGAGGCCAAACAGGCTGAGCTTACTATGGAGCAAATAGTGCAGCTCTCAGCCTTTGGAGTCTCTCTTCCCCTTTCATTCCCCAGCGGTCAACATCCCTTTTAAAGCAGGGAAGTAATGCTTTTGCCAGTGCTGTACACTGGCGTCATATACCTTTTCTTACCCCTACCCATCGTGTCCTTCCCTGAGTGTCCACTCTGAGGACTTAGGCTGGATTTTAACCCATTTTCCCGAAGGGAAGTGCTTGGAGCCATCTTATATGATTCAAGGTGCATATTGAATCTGAGAGGGACAAAACCAGCAGTAACAGAAGAACTTTCTGAGTTGTGAAGGCCAAAAGGAATTAATCACTGAAGGGAAATGGGCTCTCTCATTTACACAGAGGGTGAGAGAGAGAGAAAATAAAGTGCTTTAGAATGGAGAAGGGAAAGAAAGGCCCTTGCAGTGTCCCTGTCAGTACCAAAATAAATCTTTGAAGAGAGAGGGGAAACAATAGCAGCAGAAAGCTGCCCGAGCAATGGCAGAGCAGAGCCTTAGGAGCAGATCTCTTCCTGGCTAATGGCTGCCAGCTCTGGACCTTTGTGGTTAGTTTGCTTCGGTGAACCCAGTAACCGCTGGCATGGTCTTGTCTTTCTCATCCGTGGATTGCTTGCTAAACAGGCGGAGTGGTGATACTGAAGGCAGTATCCTAGCAGGAATGTAGCTAAGCCATTGGATCAAATACTGGATTTGAATCAAACCAGTCCTGTTTTGGAGAAACTTAACTGTCCGGTGGGCTGGAAAAAGCTCTGGGGAACCTTGACCAAGGTTGCTAGAGAGCAAAGAAGTAGAGAGTTTCCATCCAAAAAGGATCCAGGCAACATCTCCTCACAGTAAACAGAATAAAGCCTTGCAGTTTTGTGATCCTTAAGCATAAGGGGAGTGGATGAGACTGCTGGGAGCAGGCCGACAGCCCTGGGAGGTTTTACACTGACAGAGCACATCTGTAGAGGAGAGCTGCCAGGCTGTCATGTAAACCCATTGGGGGACCATCTCACACGTCAAGCACATGCTGTCTGCACCTCCGGGGCTCCTCACACCTTCCTGGATATGACTGCAGGCACGGAAGCAGGTCAGATCATTGGTGTTATTAACAGCAAAGCTGACATCTGGGCTGGCCAGTGGAACAGCCCAGGCATTTGGTTTGTTTATTTTCCTTCTGCCTTTGGCGCTTTTGCTCTTTACAGAAGGCTGCCTTAGCGTGTTGCTAACACACTGCTTGGGGTAAGCACTACATGAAACTCCCACTATTTTGAGGAACCCAGCTCAGGCATTTTTCAAATAACTGCTGCTTTTTGTGTGTGTGTGATTTTTGGACAAATTGGAACTAAAACCTCTTCCCTGACACACTGTTTTTGTCTGTTGTGCTGATAGGCTGCTCTGTGGTCACAAATCTCCAACATACTGATGTACCCTGATTCTGTTCACACTTGGCCTGACTTGACACTGGAGTAATTTCATTAATGTCAGTGGAGACATTTCCTCCTTATGCTGACACAGAGCTAGCTTGGATGTGGGCCCCCACCATACATAGAGGAGAGCTGCAACTCTCCCTTGCTGCAGCTAGCAATATGGGTGCAACAGAGGTGAACTTGTTGGAGTGCAGAATGTGAGCACATAACTGCTGGGGAGTAGGGAGAGCAGCTCTCCTTCCTCCAGCTTTCAAGTGGCTTTGACAAGAGCATGTTTTAAACTGGGGCCATTGATTTCCCCAGTAGTTGCTGTACAGCAGTAGGGAAATGGACCTTTGCATTGACCATGGCCTTTCTGGAAATAATTTTCAGAGGCACCTGCTCTCCTCCTTCCTCCCTCTACTTCCAAACCCGCCCATCAGCATCCTGGTGCCTGGCATCATGAGCTGCTTGTTCTCTTGGCTTAAAACCAATGTGGCTCAGAGTGTTAGACTCTTTGGAGCAAGTAGAGTCTATTTTTATCTGAGATGCTTTCGAGAGCAGTTGGGTAAGAGTAGCTGCAGTGTCCAGGGATGAGGTCTCACAGGGGACTTGTGACTGCTGGGATTCTGAGCAAAGCTCTCAAGAGTCCAGAGGCAGTAAGAGGTTTCACTGGTCCCTCCGGGAGTGCTGCAGGGAGGGGGCTGGAGTGGGTGTAGCTGGTGATATGTACAGGCAGCCAAAACCTGGTGTTGTAATGTCTGAGACACTCTGGGTTTGGAAAAGGCCCCGATGATATCACCCTGCAGAACTGTTAATGGCAGAATGCAGAAAAGGAAACATTCACAAGTCCTTTCCCAATCTCTAAAGGAGAGGAATTAATGCTCTGTGTTCCCATCCCCATTGCTCTGCTTGGAATTGGCTTTCATTCACCACCAGGCATCAAAAGAGATAGTTCTTTCTTTTAATTTCTCCTTGGTTCTGCCATGTTTCTACCACATGCAGCAGAGAATGCTGACAGCAGAAAGTGTGAGAGTGGTGGCTGTTCTGCACGAGTTCCCTGCGAGGACACTGAACTCTGCATACCATGCTGCAGTTCTGCTTAATCCACTTCCAGGAGAGATAAACAAGCAGTGGTGCTTTCAGTGCTGCCACAGAGCACACAAAAAACAGACTAAGCTCTGCAGCAGCTCTCCCAAGCTATTTCTCCTTTGTGGTTGCTCTCTCTCTCTGCAGCTCTCCATAGGTCCCATGTCCTGCGTGACCACCAGCCCCTGGTGGAGCCTCTTCCAGGTCCTGCGCTGTAGGTCTGCTTGACTGCAGTCCTTTCCCCGTTCAGTGTGGCCAGCACAGTGCATCCCCCACCCTGCTTAAGAAAGCACGACTTTTCTGGAGGTGGGAAGCAATATCACGCAGAGATTGCTTAGGTGCTGTCAGCTCTGCTTTTTTAATGTGATCCACCCACTATCACAGGATCCTTGGGAGGGTGGGAAGGAGAAGCCCAAAGCTAGAGCCAGTTAATGTGAGTTAAGTGAGCAATACCCCACACAGCACAGGGAGCGTGAAGAATGATGTCAGCCAGTGACTGCTTGAACTAGGCAATTATCTTTGTGATTTTTCTCAAAATGAAATGTGGAGAATGTGTGTGAAATACTTCTCCCTAGAGCTTCATGCAACGGGAGCTTCAAACTGACAGGGCTGGTGTATAGTACTGAGGAGTGAAAGTAGGGCCCATTAAGCTGCTTTGACAGGGGGAGCTTTCTTTTTTAGCCAGTTGCTCATTGCCAATGCGTAGTCTTAATTTTCTCCTTCCCTAGTGCTCAGGAGCTTGGGCTGGTCTTCCTCCCACCATCTGTGATGGATGAGATCAATGTGGAGCTCCCACCCTCCTGCTCTCCAAAGAGCCAATGTCATGGGCAATTTGAGGAAGGGACAAAGCAGATAACAACCCTCCCCTACAGTTTTCACAAAACCTCATGCCCTGGATTCACCAATTCCAGTATGGACACTTGTCTGCAGACTGGCTGAAAAAGGACTGTGATAATTTGTTTATGCTTTTGAGCATCAGGTTTGTAGCAAGGATGGTCCTATTCTTATGGAAACGGAAAGGTAAGGGATGAAATTAACTTTCCAATAACTTTCACTGATTTTTGGCGTGCCGTCCAAAGGATAGCAGTGGGGAGCAAGTCCGGCAGGATCTGTGTTGTGTTACGGCTACGGGAAATGTCAGTGTGATTTTCCTCTCTGAGGAGGAGAGTGAGAATCTTCCTTGAAGAGTTCAACAAATATAGTGACCTGAACTGGGGGTAGTTGGAGCTGTTGATAGACAGGGAAGATAGATTGAGCATAATGCTAACCAGTTTAGCCAAAAGATGACTAAGGTAGGGAAGCATTGTTGTTTCCAAACATCTGTGGGGAGATGGAGATTATGTTAACAAAGGACAAAATTTAGACTGAGCATCAGGAAAGTACTTCCTAGAAGTGAACTGTGTCTCCCCAGGGAGGGGGTGGGAGTCCCATATCTGGCAAGATGGGAACAGCAATAAATAATAACAGATCGGATTACTTTCTATGTAATGATAACAAATAATGTAAAATGCGTCTTGATAACAAGTTAGAGTTCTCTGATAGCAACCAAATGCACAAGCCAAGGGATGAGCAGGGTGGGACTTGGGGGATTTTGTATGCTGACAGGGTGCGCCTGGGAGTTCTGTTGGCTTCCTTGAGCCATAAAGCCTTTATTTAGGCTTTTGTTCACTCAATACTTTGGAGCAGAGGTAAGTTCAATAATTGTGCCCCTTCTCTCTGATTTTTCATTTGAGGGAGAAGGAGTCCGGTACAGCTATGGTCAATTTGTGCTTTATGTGCTGTCAGTGGGATTCCAGAGACCACTCCCCCCAGCTTTATTTCACTCCCATACTGTTTGGAGTGGAAGGGTCTCCAAGCAAAGAGTGCAGAAAGGCAAATGTATGTTTTGGTTGGGGGCTGTTCTGTGATACGAGCCGAGGCCTGAAGTGGGGTCTTAAATGGACAATCACATCTACAGAGCAGGAAGAGCTATAGGTGAGAGAAGCAACTGTATCTGTGGGCCTAAGTGAGCCCCAGACACCCAAATTATGGGCCCAAGCCCATGGGTTTCTCAACTGCTATTTCTTGGAAAGAGATTAGTAACAATCTCCTATTTATACACTACTCAAAAAGATGGGAATAAGACTGGGGCTCTTTAGTGTTTTGAGGCTTTTGGTTTTGGTGAATGATGAGTCCATAATTTGCTTTGGTAACCCTGGAGCAATATGACAGCATTTTGTCTTCTTTGTAGACTTGAAGCCTTGGTTTTGTTTAGCGTAGGCTGTAGTGCCAGCCCTGGAGGATTAAAATGTGAAAGGGGAACACCCTCTCACAAGGGCTTGTGCCCTTGCCTGCTTGGTCTGCCAATGATTATGTCCTAAGTGGTAGTCATAAGATAAGAGGGAAAATATGACTGAGGGTACTGGGAGAACTGTACCAGTCCTGTGCATCACCTGCCCCACCAGTGGAAGAGGAAATGGGTGACTCAGGGCCTGAGAGCACAGCAAGGGCAGAAGGAAGGTGGCAACTGCCTTATAGGGTTGAGAGTGGTTAAATGCAATCTATGGGGGTCAGTTTCTGTCCCCCCCAGTAAGCTTTGTGAGGGCTGAAGGAGACAAGTTTCCAGCCCTGCCTCTCATCAGCCCCACCTCACAAAAACGTCAGACCAGAGACACTTGTCCATGTGAATATGAGACACGGGCAAATGTGGGGAAGAAGGACAAGAAAAGGGGCTGGAGGTTGCGGTCACTTTTTATCCTGAAGCAGGTTTGTTGGAGTATATCCACAGCTGCACAAGGAGTCCTCTCACAGTCTATAGGAAAGCAAGCACAAAAGGAAAACAGTCTGTAAAGATCGGGCACTTCAACAACCAGATCAGCAAGCCCATTGTCTACAGTTATCCCAAAATAACGTTTCAGAGACACTTCCTCTCCCTCTAGTCCTTCTGCCTTCACCCAGTGACCATAGCCCCAGCATATTCCTGCCATGCACCTGTTAAACTCTTCTGCAGAGCTTGGAAGAGCTGAATGCAGAGGGGAAAGGGTGAGGAGTGGGTGCTGGCTTGGATGTGGTGGTCAGCCTGGGCAAGCAGAGCGCAGCTGAAAGCTCTTGGAAGCTCTCTGCTCCCCAGGCTCACATGGGAAAGCTGCAAGCTGTGTGTTGCTTATAGGAGCTTCTGAGGATGTTTCCAGCTTGCCCTGATGTGCAAACCATGCCTCCTCTTCCTCCAAGGCCCTTCCTCAGCAAAAGGCTCTCCTCTTCTTTGTGCTGTGAAATGCTCAGCTCCTGTGTTGTTGAGGCTGACAGGACAGGAATAATACCCAGTGCCCATGGGTCTGTTTTCTGTTGTAAGAAACCACATGATTCACCTGGACTCAACTCAGTATGTGGAAATGGGTCAATAAAAGTGTCCTATCATGGAACAGAGCCACCCTGCAGTGACAGTGTACCTCCAGTGGAAACTGGTTGTCAGCCATTCTCCCTGGTGCTACAGATAGGTGAAGGGAGCCCCAGCCAACAGCATGCGCACCACATGCAGCTTGAAAGAAACCTCAAAATCACATGAAACCCATTAGCAGTGTCACCTGTTGCTTTTGACTGGTTTGTGGTGGCCTGGCTGAGAGCTGACCAGCTGTCCCGTTTCCACCAGCCCCACCTCCCTTTTGTGGCAGGGGTACCTAACCCAAGCAAGCTTGGGTAGCCCTGAGCTCACCAGTACTGAGACAGCTGCCGTGTCTGGCTGTGACACTGCTCAGAAATGCCCCACAACAAGAGGCCAAACTGATCTTGTCACAGGAGGAACCACCACAGCCTGCAATGGCCCTGCACACCCTGACCCTTCCTGTAGCACCAGCCAGCCTGGCTTTGCAGACCATTAATGGGGGAAAGCACTGGGGAATGTTCATCCCTGCACCCTCCACCAAATCCATGGCTAGAGCCTGGCTTGGTTTGGAGGCTGTGTACCCAGAATGCCTAAGGAATGAATGGAGAATCCCATGAGGCCAGTTCTGGGAATGATCTGGAGTGCAAATTTCCCCTGTTCCTCCCTAAAGCAGACCTGCCCTGGGCGCCATGAGGGCCATGGAGAAGTTAATTCTGCAGCTGGGGAGATGTCTGAGATTTGGTGAGGATAGGTTCTTTCCACAGAGGCTGCTAATTCTGCATGAGCTAATCTGGATTTGCTGCTTCTCTGTGCTGTGAGTCACAGCGCGCATGGTCCTTTGGTCACCATGGCAGGCTGCAGGACTTCACGGTGGCCTTTTGCTCTTCCTAGAGAGGATGACTCTCTCTGACTTGGCTGCCATGTGCCGTTTGACACTTTCCATTCATGTGCAATAAGATCACCGCGATCCGCAGCAACAGTAGGTTGTCATCCTAAGATATTCTCAGCAACAAGCAATACATTAGCTTGCTCAGGGTGTTCTTGCAGTAGGCCAGAACAATGCCTGTATGAAAAAGTATACCCAAAGGAGCCACTAATAGCTCTTAGGAATTGAAGGCCTCAGAGAGATACAGCCATTAGTGTGGGGCTGCCTGTCTTGTCAAGGTAAAGCTTTATAGAGCTGGGTGGAAGGGAAAAAACAAATCAAATTTGGTATAAAAATGAAGCAGAAGCTGATCATTCATTACAAAGCAAGCACTGCCTTCCTCATCAGCCTGCCTGATAGCTATGGAAAAGCTGCTGCCATCAGTAAACCCAGCCCTTGACCAGAGAACTCTGTACCGTACCCCGCACCTACTGGGGCAGCTGAGCCTTGAGTCTGTGTGGATTCCCAAGCTGTGAGCGCTGGGCCATGGGTACCAGATTAGCTCTTTGTATTCCTTTCATTTAGCAGGATCCTGCAGAGCTGGGCAGCTGCCAGTCAGTCTGTCAAGACCTGAACTATTTTGGGAATTTTTATGATGGAACAATATTTTTTCGATAAACAAACGGAAAGCTGTTAAACAGGGACCTTCACCTCACAGCTCCCAGTTCAGCTCCCTCACTGCTGCGATGCCACAGTGACTGTACTGTCCACTCTGCAGAGCTCCCTTCATGGCTCCAGCAGGGGCAAAACAAATAGCAGCTTTTTTTTCACCCTTTTCATGAACTCCTGAACAAAAAAAAAAAAAGAGAAAAAGAAGAAATCAAGTAAATTTGGTTTAAGCAGCAGAAGTGTTTCTTGCTGGACTTAACCCCTCACACACCTGAAGGCAATCTGTATATTGCCTCTGTGTGCTGTGCTACCTTACCGTGCAGCATCTAGCTGCATCCCACACTGGATTTCCTCAGGACTGCTGGAGCATGGATCCAAACAGCAGTGACACAGGGCTGAGTGTGCACAAAAGGAAGACTTCCTTTTTTCAAAGGAGTCTGTTAATAGGAAGACATCATGGAGTCACAGAGTGCACAGAGGAAGATGTTTGTATGGAAGAATTGAGCAGGGAAAGGAAGGACAGAAACCTTTCCCACTCTAAAATGGAGGTACTGCATTTCTCCTCATGGGAAAAACCCATGAGGGGCCAGTGGCTCCTTCTTGCTGCCATGGGCTAAAATTGATTTCACAATTCCTATGTATTGGTGGCACTGGAGAGTTCAGTCTCACATGGGATATATCTGCCCCAGCCTTCCAGGGAACAGATTGATGGCTATCAATTGGAATGAGCCAAGACATTTGTCTGGTCCACAAATGCTTCGTTCACGTCACAAAGGCAGTTTGTGGTTTTCCTTGGTTCCTGGAAAGTCCACTCCAGCTTGTACAACAGTGCTGGCTCGCACTGGTCATCCTGGCAGCCCGTTAACTCCAGAACATGCAGATCACTGAGGTGTCTTGAGGGATGGCGTTCTGCTTCTCTCCTCTGCCCCTTGTTACACTGCCAAACTCATCAAGGAACTGTAGTTTGCCCTACTGAAAACTTGCACAACGGAATCTTTTGCTTGCCCCATCTGATTTTGCCTTGGGATCTTTCCTGTAACCCATTAACTGTTCTTACTCTGAGACTGATACTAATGACTTTTTCAGAGAAGCATTCAGTAAAGTTGCTTGTGAGCAGCTGCACCTTCCCCCTGCCCAGCTGTCTTCCCTTCTCCATGGGCAGTAGCAGCCCTGGACTTTCTTCTCGTGTCCTCCAGTTTCTCAGGTTTCTTCTGTTTGCTTTTGCAGCCTCAGAAGGTCAGCTCTGGCACCTCTGTTCTTACCCTTCTCCATTTCATTCTGTCACTTTCTTCCATGTCCATTCGTATGCATGACCTTCTTCTCACCTACAGGTCTTCAGCACCCTTCCAGGGCAGCTTCCCTACCCTTCTGCTACTTCTCTTCCTGGCCTCTGCACTGAGTGGCTTTCCTTGGCTCTGTGCTCTGCTCCCTGCCTCTGTAGGAGCAGAACTCCCCTGATCCCACCGTGGGATGTTAGGGTTGAGAGTCCCAGGAGTGCTGGGAGGACATGGGTTGAGCATCTCAGGAGTTGCAGCAGTGGTGCTGTGGAGAGATGCACACCAGTTCTCAAGCTCCTTGGCATTTAAGGCATCCCTAAGCTGCACCTGGGTGTACAGAGACCAATTTACTCAGGTCTTTTGGATCCCAAGTCTGTGTTTTAAACAGACACCTAAGCTGACAAAATCCCTGTGGCTTGTATCTCCTGTGATTACAGTTTCTGCTGTCTGTCATTAGAGTCACACTCCTATTTCTTCTTCTTGGTTTGTCTTCCCTCTCTTCACCCACTTATTTCCCCCCTTTTCATTGCACCCCACATTTTAGCCCCATGAATTGAACTTATGTGTGTTTAGCTGGTCCATCTTCCCCACAGAGAACATGCTCCATCCCCAGGAAATAGCCCAGCTCTCCTTTTTATATTTTTCTCCTGAACAGGTTATGCTCTTCTGCAGTGTGTTATCTCTTTAGCACTCAATAGCTTACTTAAATCAGTGTTGTTTATGCCTATCACTCCTGTTCCTCCTGCTCAGCCTCATTCCTCCCCTAAAGAAGGCTTCCTCTTTCTGCTGCAGTTTTATTCCTGCAACTTTTATTCACCTCAGTCACTTCTACTCAAGCCCATTTTCTGCTTATGCTTATGTCTCTCGGGGATTTATCTCGGGGCTCTGTCTTCTTCATGTCAGGCCATCAGAGCCAGCTTTATGATTCCTTGCTTGGATATAATCACTTGTCACATGGAGGTGACAAGTAGAGGTGCAGCAGAATACAGAGGTTTTGTCCCAGGAATTTCTTTGCTATGACTTGGCCAGACTGCTTCTAGATCTAGGCACTGGGCACCAAAAGGACCCTTTGCATCTACAGCTTTTATGGCTTTTCCTTCAGTCAGATTGTAGAGAAATACACCACTAAAAACCAGTGCCCTGGGCGAGGGCTCAGAGTCCTGCCTCATCTTTGCTCAGTCCGCCTGTGCCTCCGCAAAGGACATTCTTTCAGCTTCCGACCTGCAGGCATCTCCTGGTCCTCTGTTGTTTGCGATACTGCAATTTGTTGCCTTGGAAATAAGTGCTGTTTTATCCCAAACAGAGCCTACAGTTTCACAGCGCAATGAAGCGAGAGGAGCAGATGGTTTCCCCCATCTCTTCTGCTGTATTTGCCATTATCCTCATCCACAGCTGGGTAGACAGGAGTCTATGATTCAGTGCAAGTATCTGTGGCCCGGCTGTATCTACCCATGTAAGCTGGGGAGCCATGTTTCTGCTGGGATGCTTTTGTGTCTAGCATCACCGTCTTGGCTTCTTGCAAACAGAATTTGACCAAAAGCCTAAAATAAACAACTTCTTGCTGACTTCAGTGGTGTCTATGAGCAGCAGGCAGAAGGAAGGTTCAGCACCTGCAGTTTCAATTTCCCAGGGCTTTGTAGTATCTCTCCTTAAGCTTTCAGGCCTCTGCAAGCTCATTTCACTGTTTTATATGTTGCACTTTAGACAATATAGGCCTTGTCCTCTCTGCAGACACTGGTATTCTCCTTTTGTGCAGCTCTCCTGGGCTAAAGCTCAGCTACAGTTTGGCAGTGGCTGTGCTAGGTAGGACTTGGGAATTGTGTGAGGGATAGGTCGTCATGCAAATGTCTTTCTGTGGAAGCAGTTTTCGTAAGAACTGTTGGTACGGAGGCACAGTGGGGTCATGGCTCCAATATGCACTTGGGGAATCGAAGAGATGTGGGGACTCTATAGGACTGAGGAGCTTTTGAGGTCTGAAATGGCTGGGGGAACCAGCACTTCCAAGCCTGAGATTAATGGCTTTGCAAACAGTTCTGCTTTCATTCCTTGGTGTTATTCTTTGTGATTCAATCTGATTTGTTTGAATTCTGTTCTGAGGCTTATATCCTACCCAGCACTTTGCTGCTTGGGTGCTCTGCCTTTTATTGCCAGAACAAATGGGAATGAGCAAATTTAGGCTGGAGAGTAATAGAATATTTCTTCCTTTCTTAGCAGTAGGATCCTCAAGCAGCTTTCTAGTAGGAACAGGGTTTATATAAGTGATGCTGCTAGAGTTTATGGCTGGATTTAGTGATCCAGCGTCTCTTCCAGGTCTACCTTTTTGGAAGCCAGCTATGTTTAAAATTCATTTGAAGAAGGGAAAATTATCCTCAGGATTTGAATGTCCCAGATTAAGAATGGAAAATGGAGCAGAGGCAACTGAAAACTTTGGTTCTTGGCTCTCCTTGCCTAGCAGCAGGGAGGCTGGCTTGTGGGAAGAAAGAGAATTCCTGTAGTTCAATGTGGAGATGTGGCATGGGGAGGGCAAGGCAGAGCCCTTGGGGAGGGTGGTTGTGAGGGATGGGACAAGGAAGGAGGGGCAGTGCAGTACTGGGGTACGGGGCACAGGCCTGTGGGATGTGGGAGGGAGAGGAAAGGAAGAAAGTCGCCTTTCCTGCACATACCTTATTTGCCTCTTTTGCTTATCGCTGAATTTCTCCTTTCTGCAATGAGTAACTGACTAAGGCTCCTTGTGCTGCACCATTAATCTGGTGGCTTTCCATTAACAGGCAGGTGCTTGTACCCGGGGGACCACCATGCTGACTGCCAGAGATTCCTGGCACTGGCTACTACGGAGTTAAGCAGCCAGGCTGGAGTGTGCAAACAAACATCGAGACCTGTGCTAACAGCCCTGCTTTGTGCTAGTGGGAAGCACAGGCTCCAACTTCTTCCGATTTCTCACCTGTCCAGACTGGTACAGAGGGAAAATGCCTCTTGGAGTTGCAGAGAAAACCACACCTATTTACTGTGGATTCCCCAGGGCCCTCCTGTGGGGTATTAACCCTTCAGCCCCAGGGCCCACAGTCTGCCTTTGGCATGGAGAATTCCCCACCATCCCTGGGGAAATCAGCCCTTCTCCCTCTGGTGTAGGGGTTTCGCCTGTTTGTGGCCCAGGGCATTGGCCCATCCACTCTCTAGAGCAAGTCACAGCTTTCTCTTTCCTCCCCATCTGTACAGTTATCTCTGCCCTTTCCATAACTGTGCAATGTGGCTCTTTCTGCAGGAGCTGGGCTTCCTGACCCAGCTCCTTCCCCCAGAAAGCAGAACTTGCACTGCTGTTTCTGGGTTGGATCTGTGATCATGTCTCTGTGTTTGTCTCAGACCCCACCAAGTTTCCCTGAGATACCAGCTCATCCCTCCCCCTTGAAATGTCCTTGCTCTCTTCAGGCTTCTTCCTGGTCTCACTGTTTGCTTTCCCTCTTTTCCCTGGTTTCTGAGGTTTCTCGGAAGGAATCCCGTGCTCTGGCCTCCTCAGGCTGGAGTGTTGTGTTGTTGTTTTTCCTTTCGTCGCTATGGGCAGGGATTTTGAATACTGAGCCAAGGAGAGGGAGGGAAGGATGGAGGCAGTGAAAGAAGGAGGGAGTACAAGGGGAGGGATGAAGAAAGCCAGGGAAGTGAGAAAGCAAAGTGTGCAGGGGAGCGGGGTAAGGAAGAGGTGGTGGAGGAATGAAATGGGGAAGGAAGAGAGAGGGCATTATGAAGAGGAAGAGTTTTGGATAAATATCCAGGAGAGCTTTTTCATTGTTTCTTTTATTGATAACACTATTGCAGCAGACAGCAATATCCAGAGCAAGGCAGGGAACATCCCCCCCCCATCTGTCTAGGACACAAGGCATGAGAGGTTATTCAAGGCAAAGAGATCCTTCAGAAAATGAACATCCAAGCCTAGAGCAGCCAGTAGGAGCACAGACTACAGCAGGAAAAATGCTAGATGGCAGTTTGGTGGGTAAGGAGAGAATGTGAAGCACAAAGGTGCAGAAAATATAGGACCTTCTTTTAGTTTGTTGGGAGCAGGAAGCCTGGGAGAGGGCTACCAGGTTTTCTGGGAACAGGGAAGAAAGTAGAGCAGCTAAGGAAGCTTGCAGCACTGCAGAGAAGCTAAGTAATTCCCATAGCAAAAGCAAAAATGGATAAACACCCCTACTAGTGCAACTCAGCTGCTACAGACAAGGCACCCTTAGGCACTGAGAACATATAAAGGCAAAGGCTGGTGTCTCAGAAAACAACCATCCCCAGGACTGGGAACCAGCACCTAAGGATCAGAGTGTGAGGGACCAGCATCTGTGTGCAGAAACAGGGGAGGGCAGAGAGAGCCAAGGAGCTGCGGACACTGCTCTCATTTCAACCCCAGGTGAATCCATACACCCACCTGATCTGCTATGTTGCAGTGAGAAATCTGCAGCTCACTTTCCTCTGCTAAGGGAAATCCTGCTCCTGCAGCTGCTAGAAGTTATGGAGTGTTTCCTGCTGTGGGAAATAACAGCAGGACATGGATTTTCAAAAAGCTGGGAGCAGTGTCTTTCACAGGAGCATCTCCATGAGGCTTAGTGGCCAGGAGGTGATTAGTGCTGGCACTGCTGAAATACTGCAAAGAAGCAGAAGCTGTAGGTCCTGAGGGCTCAGAGCAGTTCACCTCTGGGAGCCATGCAGTAATAGGATGGAAACTAATCCAGAGAATATTGTATTGCCACTGTGTGAATCTGGGATAAATCTTCAGCTGGAATATTCTTGTGTGCTTCTCATCACACTTGCTGGGGAAAATAGGGGAGATACAGGCAGATAAAGAAACTTACTAAAACGATGAGGCCTCTTCCATGTGAGCAGGGATCGCAAGGAATGCAACATACCAGTTTTCAGATGCAATAAACGGGGAAAGGATATGAATTAACTAGCACTATAACTTTTTTAGGAAAGACTATATATTTCAAAGTCTAAGCCAATGCCTAACTGACAAAGATAAGAAGGAAATTCTGCTCTGCAGAGGTTATTCCACAACTGTTCAAGACAAAAGATTATTCAGTTTAAGAATCCAGCACTGTCAAAGCTCTCACACAGCATTTGCCAGTCCTGGTATCTAATGAGTCCCGTTTTCATAAACAAGCAGCCTGGGGATCAATCAGCCTGTCAGCCTGTGTCCATTAGGGTGCTGCCGTGGCGGTGCCTGCTCTGGCCTCGGCACTGCCACCAGCCTGAACCCAGCTGTTTCCCCCAGCGACTCGGGCAATTTACCATCCTCCCAGCCCTACCACTCATGTGATCTTTTTTCTCCCTTGCCCAATTCTGCAAAATGACTGGAAGTACCTTTTTAAAAGAAAAGTCAGACTAGAAATGAGGAAGGGGTGCTTGAAGGGAACAGCTAAATCAGAATTGAGTGGAGCCTAGTGGGGATGGTGTGATGTGCAGCCAGGGGTGACTGAAGGGCTGCTGCATCTTGGCTTGCATCACCACCACCCTCCCCTGCAGGCTGAAGCTCACTCTCTCTGCAGGTAGTTACTGTACTCTGATTTACAGGACTTTGAACACTGAGTTCTATGTTGTGTCTTTCAATGGGTAGTTCTCATTGTTGACCATCAGGATTGCAGATAATCCTAATACTGAAGGCAAAAATCAGGAAAACAGGAAGAAGATTCATGAGTATTTGGGTGGTTTAGGTGGATGAGTGACAGATGAAAAATACTGTTTCATGTAGCAAATGTCAAACGGAAAGTGTGGGAGCAAGGAGCAGGTCTGAGGAATACTGGGTAAGCAGAGCCACAGCACAGCTCTCTGAGCCTTGATGGGTTGGGAATCATTAATCCTGTCTGCCTGCATGGAGAGGTGTTGCGGGAGGGAATTTTACATTTGGAAGGTCAGTGTGGCTTGTTGTCCGTCAGGCACATCCCATGTGTGTTGTGCTAGTCAGCCCTGACAGAAGTTACAGAAAGGAGATGAACTGGAGTTGCTAACATCCTGATTAGACATAGAATATTAATGTCAAGCACACGGAACTGTGTTTGGACATGCAACAAGAGATATTTATGTCTAGTATATCACTGGCTTTCTTGGTCTCTTGACCAAGAACGTCCCGGGGAGGTTACTGTGAACTCTCCTCCACTGATGGTGTGTGTCATCAGAAGGGTGCATATGGCAAGCAAAGGACCGTCATTGCTAGAGTCTTAAACACACTCTCAGTGCACTTGGAGGCATGGCACATGAAATGTCAGGGACCCGTCAGGAGCCTTGTCAGCACTCTGGCTCACATTGCTGTGCCATAAGTACTGATTCTGCCTCCCCTGCCTGCCTTCAGAAGTCATGGGCCTGTCCCAGGCAGCACCCACTCCTGCTGTGAGAGGGCCACCAGACCCTCCAGAGAAGACCGTCCAGAGAAGAAGGGTGAGAAGAACAAGGATGGCTGCCATGCTGTCACATGGCAAACTGGCCTAGGCCTGAATACAGCAATGAGCTGCACAATTCATCCATGTGGAGAAGGCAGAGAAATGAGTGCTGGTGTGCAAAAAGCAAAGACTTGTCCCAGGGACTAAGAACAACTCCTTTGCTGTCAAACTCCTGTGCTAGTGCAGCTCTGTTTTGCTCTAGAGTTTGCTCTGTTCCTGATAACTTTCTGACCCTGTGTTGTGCTCCAGGGACTGTTTTGACCTCCGTGAACCTTTGCCTTCCACACGCTTTATTTTGGACAAAAATATTCTTATCATCCCTTTCATCTGAGGAGAAAGCCATCTTCCAAACAGCAAGGTACCCACAGCTTTGTATGTTCTGTACGGTGGCACTTTTGCTTTTTCCTCAGCCTCTCCTGCCTCTGTTGCGGATGCTGCCATTCCCGCTTGGTTAATTTGTCTTTGTCAGCACATGTTTCCACAGCAGTGGCAAGACTGACCGTCCCTGGTAGGGCCAGCCGTGTTTACCCGACCACTCCGCATCCTTCGGCAAGCAGCCTGCTCTTGGTGACTTTTCTGTTCACTTTTACCCACTGAAGCCACAAATTCTCAATGAATTCTTATGCCTTTTCTAGCCCGAACGAAACCATCTGAAAAGTAAACAGGTTTGGTGTTTACATGAGGCAAACCCCAGCCTGGGAAAAGAACAGCTCAAGCACAGGCGGCTGCAAGAACGAGGAAAATTCCCCTGTGAGACAAGAGTTCCCAACTCAAGAAGGAGTGATGCAAGTTTGTCCCTTTAAACACGTGCGTAAGCACTGTGCTGAACAAAGATGCTTCCCTGGAACTAGTCCTTCAACAGTTAAGTGAAACAAGTCCAGTTAGGACTAGCTTGGATTATCATAAGAATGGAGGCTCAGCTGAAGGGCAGGATTCAGCTCCACCTTCTCCTCCCTGCTTCCTGACCTTCTTCAACACATTCTTGGGTACACAGCTTTGGAATCAGTGCACTGCAAACATGCTGCAAGTGCTGGTCATGTACAGACTGGTAGGTGTGGGGTCCCTGCTGCTGTTCCATGAGGGCTGGCTGGGGGCGAAGAGCACCCATGAAAAGCACCCATGAAATGCTCGAGGCTGGGGCTGTAGATGTCTGTGTTGCAGTGAAATGTCCCAGCTCTTTTCATTAGAGAAAAGCAAATGAAAAAGAGGAAAAGAGTGGAAGAGAGCGCAGAGAGCTTGCTTTCTTCCAGCCCCCAGAGGATAAGGGGAAATGGCAGTTTCCCACCTTCCCCAGGGCAGGGAAGGGCTGCAGGAGGAGCCTCTTGCTGGACTGAACCTTGCTCAGCCAGGTCATTAGCCTCCTCTGAAATCCCCTTGGTTTTCCCTCTCCTTTTCCTCAGGACCAAGCAGCTGAGAGGGAGCTGCCATACCCTGAGGGCAACTTGTGTGAACTGCTGGAGAGAGATTGTTTGTCAACCACATTGGGATCCCTCCAGTTTAAGGCACTGGAAAAGTCTGTTCTATCTGATACAGGAAGGTAGAGGAATGCACATGGGAAGAATACATCTCAGCTTGCAGTTCTCCCTTCCCCCCAGGATGAGGTGCCAAGATTAAAGAAATATTGGGGTTTTCCGCAAAGGTGTGTAGAAAGTATTCTGCCTTTCTGAAAACAAAAAGTTAATAGAACAATAGCATGAGGCTTTGAGCAACCTGGTCTTGTGGAAGGTGCCCCTGCCCCTGGCATGGGGTTGGAATGCGATGATCTTTAAGGTCCCTTCCAACCTAAAACATTCTATGATTCTATGAGAGTAGGAATGAGGGTGCATATGCAGTGTCATGCCGAATCAGGTTACCTATTTCCGTAGGACAGCTTGGGCAAAGTTTATCCTATATTAAATGCAGCATTCCTGGTCCCCTGTTCCAGCACTCCAACTGAATTTTCTTTCTCTTGCTGAGGCACAGATGAAGAGGACAAGGCTGGAAGTGCTGGTGGTGAGACCTTGCAGATGATAAATCCTCCATGGTGAAAAGAAATTAAATTGATGAATGTGGAAAAGACACCCTGACTGATAAGCCAGAAGGAGAACAGGGTAGGGTAAATGGTGCCTCTGTGCAGCTGGGTGGGTGAGGAGGGTCAGTCAAAGAGATCACAGTGTTGCTCAGCTCCATGACAGACTCCTCTTGTCTGTAATGACCTGTCCACAGAGCCCAGGGACACAAAGGTCTCAGAGGAATTTGCTGGTTGTGACTCCTCGCTGTGGTTCACCCTCTTTGGGAGACATGTCTTGTATCTTTCCCCATTTCCCTGGGCACAGGCTCAGGCAAAGGGAGCTGAGTAGTGCTGCTCAGCCCGGAAGTTTTGCTGGCCACTCTAGTATATTTTCTTTCCAAAGCAGCATCTCCGTCCTGCAGTGCTTTAGGAGCAACAGCCCTAGGGCATCTAGTACCTGTGTAGTAGTACGCAGTGAGGCCCTGCGGCTGTGCAGAGCTTTGTTTCCTGGAACAGTTCGGCACATGCAGGTGAAAAGAGGCCAATGTTAGAGACAAAGAGGAAGGAGACAGTTCAAATCCATGCAAATAAGTTATTAGGAAGGCTCCAGCCTGCCACCTGCTCCTCCATCTCCACCTGACATCATGGTGCTAGAGCACAGGACACCGTAAGTGTGCCTGCGCCTAGGGCAGTGCGCCTCCTGGGGTGTCCCTCCGGGGGCGTCCCAGTGATGATAAAGGAAGAACACCAAAGCAGCTGGGCAGGGGAGCCTTGAACCCCTCTGCTTCCTTTTGGCTCCTCTCCATCATAGTCTAAATGCTGGTGGAGCTGGGGATGACAGCCCTTGACCCGTGTACAGGAGAGACAGCATCGTGTGGGGCATGAGCCAGCCGGGCTGGGGTATGATGAGATGGGAAGGAGCTCGCTTCACACGGGGCTTCGGAGTTGCCCTTCAGGCCTTCCTGCCCCCGTGTTTTTGCTGCCCTGGGGAGGCAGGGTTAGTGCTGGGGAGCACGGCCACTCTCTCTGGACCCTGGCCTTCTTGTTCCCAGGCACAGGACTGAGAAGCAGAGTCTCCGCACAGAGCCTGTCCCTGCGGACTGGGCCGGGCGTGACTGCGGCGGCACCGGGACGGGTTGCGGGGCTGGAAGGCTGACAGCGAGGTGGAGCACACGCGGTCAGGGGGTGCGAGTTGCCGGAGCGCCGTGGTGCAGAGGGGCCAGAGGGCACCGGGAGTGCCGTGGGGTGCTCGAGGGCACAGGGGTACCAAGGAGTGGCGGGTGTGGAGTCCCGAAGTGAGGGCTGCGGGATGCTGGGCTGCGGGGTGAGGGATGCCGGGGTGCCGGTCCCCCGGCTGGTCCCACCCTTGTGCGGCGCTCCCCGCCCCGCGGCCCCGCTCCCCCGCCCTCCCTGACGTGTGGCGCTGGCAGCCCGGCCGGTTCCGCATTCCCGACCCCTCCCCGCAGCCCAGGGGCCGCTATATAACCGGGGCTGATGCAACCCACCCCGCCGCCTGCCACAGCCCGCGGGAGGCGCGCACCGGGGCGGCGGGGGGCGGCGGCGGCCCGAGGCGCCCCGGCGGCAGCCGGCACCGACATCGACATCGGCACCCGGCGGGGCCCGGGGGTCGGGGCAGCGCCGCGCAGCCGGGCGGCGGAGGCGGTGGGGCTGAGCCTCAAGCCCGCGCCCTGCCCCTGCGTGCGGCCGGGCCCCGCGGGCACCCCGGCAGCCCGGTCCCTCTGTACGGTGGGTGCGGGCGCGGGCGAAGGGGAGAGCGCCGGGCGGGCCGGGACTGCGGCAGGGCGGGAGAGGCGGCTGGGGTTGCCCGGAGGAGCAGCCTGGCACTCCGCGGCGGCGGGCAGGGTGCTGCCCTCCGGGCGGCCACGGGATCCGGCTACCCGCGGGCGGGCGCTCCGCGGCAGCGGCCAGAGCCGCACAGGCGGCCCGGAGCGGCGCGGCTGTCCCCACAGACAGCTACGCGCTGGGTCGGAACTGCCCCCGGGGGGTGCCGGGCCGCTGTCCCGCTTGGGCCTGCCGCAGGGGCGGTGGCAGCGGCCTCGCCAGGTGCCCTCCTTGTCCCCGCTTCACCTGTCGTGTGGGGCGCAGGTGGGGGGCCTGGGCTGCCTCCCCCCTGAGTCGTGCCGTGGTGCGTGGAGGGCGGCGTTGCTGGCCTCCCTCCTACCTGCGGGGCCCCGGGAAGGAGAGGCGCTCGGTCCCAAGTCCGCTTTAGCAGTCAGGCATGGAGTTGAATGGAAGTTGCATTCTTTTGCAAGGTCTGCTCCAGGAGGCACTTTTCTTTTTCCATGGGAGGGAAATAGGTTTGAGAGCAAATTGGGGGAAAGGGAGAAATACCAGAAGAGCAAGAGCCACATTATGTTTCCATTTTCCTTTAATGAAGGCCCTGTGGAGGTGTATTTGAAAACACAGGGTCTCCTATGCCTTCAAGGAGGGTGAGAACACAGTGCTGGCTGGTTCCAGGGCCATATGCAGCGTATGGTGGCCAATGAAACGGGGCCTGGCTCGTTCTCTTGCTTGTCTTGGCAGCCTGCTCCATGGCTTGCATTACCAGCCCTGGAACACAACCACTGCCAAACTGTGTGTGTGCGTGTATGTGTGTGTTTGGACTCCAAGAGCTCAGCAGAACAAATGCTTCTGCAGCTTACACCAGGACTTTTTAGCTAGTTTAGAGAAAACTTGCAGGCAGTTTTCAGTGTCTACACTGGGAATTCGCTGGTGAGTTCTTGTATGGGGACATCTGGGAATGCCAGTCACTGGAGTTCAGATTCTTAGTACTCCTTCTCATTTAATCCAGCAAAAACCTGCCCGTGTGGGGGATGAGTGTGTGGGAGGGGGAGCACCATCCAAACCATCCTTGTGTTAAGTGGCAATTGCTTGTCCCAGGCTCCTGGGGTCTGGGGGATTAACAAGACCTGCTGAGGGTTAACATGCAGGTTGCTGTCTCCTCTCTGAGGTATCAATGGATGCTTCTCCTTCCTCTTCATGGCTGAGTGTTGAGCGTTTCCCTCCTTACAGGATGCAGAGGTTTCTGTGCTGCAGTCCTTGTCAAGGAAGAGTAGATGCTTCCTCACGCCTCTTGCCTGCTCCTGTCCTCTCTGTCTGAGCAGTGTGTCCAACTAAGCTCCTGAAGGAAGCATGGGCAGCACAGTGTGAGCTCTATGGACTCCTTTCCCATGCTCGTGTTTGCTGCTTCAGCTGCATTGCCTGGGCCAGATACTTGACAGCATGCAGTGCCTTGTGTGTGAAGCTGTTGAGAGGCTCTTTTCACCGCAGTGGGCTGTTTCTGGTGGAGTTGGCTCCAAGAGCGAGGGAGACAGAGCCATGGTGTGTGGCATGGACCCCTTGCCAGCCTGCATGTGTCCTGCAGTGACATTCATGTGTCCTGCTGCAAGCAGAGGGCACAGCAAACCTGGTGACATCTGTCTATGGCTGTTTGCATGGATTTCTTGATTGACTGGACTGTTCAGAGTATCAGCCCGACCACTGCTATTTTAACATGCTGCCAGGGAGCTGAAGGTCCGTCTGAGCCTCTCAGCTGAGCAGGGCTGTTGCAGACTAGCCAGAGCTGGTCTTTGTATGGTCTTTGTGGATGACCCTGGCATCTGGGGCATGATTTTGAGGTGTTTGTAAGGGGGAGACTCTCATCTCTGAGGCCATCCTTGGCCCCTGAGGGCAGAGCTCTGTGCTCTCACATCTTCTTGAAGAAGATTCCAGCCATGACCATGTGTGGTCATGGAAGGTCCTGAGGGATTTCAACAACTCCATCACTAACTTCAGTGTCTGAGCTGCAGCCTAGCTCAAGATCAGGATAGTCCTTCGTCCTCAAATCCCTTTTGAGCTGCTTCAGGTAGAAACAGAAGCTTTTACCTTCCTGCTCTGTACCGCCGTCCGGTGTGTGGTGCAGCATTATTAAATGTCTGCCACAAGTAATTAATTGCAGTCTCTAATAACAATACTGTGATAATTAATTGCAATATTTTGCAGCTATTGCAATTAACTGTTGCAGTAGAGGAGCCTTGCCATGCTGGGTGCTGCACAAAACCCTGCTGTCACAGGTTGCTTTCAAGTCAGTCGCTGCATTGCAGTGGTGGGGGCAGTGTAATGCTGATCTAGAGCTTTGCACTAGGTATGGAGGAAAACATTCAGGGGAAAAGGAGGTCTGTGAGGTGACTGCTTTGCTAATGGAAAGAGGGGCATTACTTCTAAAGCTGAGGACCGGAGGACCAGTATTACCTTTCCTTGTAATGGGGATAAGGAGTCAAAGCATCAGACGGGCAGGTATGGGGCCTGATGGTAGGAATCAGCTATGGGAGGCTGCAAAACTGCACTTCTGCTGAGGAGAGGCTGTCTGCCCTGTGGGTACAGTGTAGGGAGCTTTGTGCCTCCCTGATGGATAAGAGGAGGGAGGCAGCAAGATGCTCTGTGTTCCTGTTTTCAGAAAGCTTTTCATAGCCTTCTGTCTGTAAATGACTTGCACATTCCTCCTGCCATCTGCGTGAAACTAGATGTACAGGACTGAGCCAGACTGCTCCCACTCATGAAATCGGTTTAGACTTCCATTTCATAAGGAACTGTCCTTCACAGCTCCTTCCTCTCTTTAGCATTTGGTCCTGAAGCCCACTCACTGGAGCTTGGGAGTTTGGGATGGGACATTACATGTCTGGTGTTCACAAACCTTGCAGCTCTTCTCCCACCACGTGGGGTTGCCTGTGGGACAAAGGGCAGCATCTGGGGGTGTCTGGGAAGGGCGCAGATGCTTCTTTGGCCTTGCACACCCTGGGACTGATTGCAGGAGCTGTCTTTCCCTCTTGGGATGGAAATGGAGTGTGGAGGTGGTGAGGTACGATGGTGTCTAGCATACTGAGGTGACATGCTGCAGCTCACTGCACTTGGTAAGCCATGCCGTGACTGTGCCTTAAACTGGTCTTTAAATAGAGGGGAATCTCTCTGATGCCATAAAACACTAAAGTTAAGTCCCTGGTAAAGAGAGGGCATGCACAGTTTTATCCCAGGGGGTGTCACTGCAGCTTTTCAGTACACTACAGGTGATGGGTTCCTTGGCATCACAGCTTCAGCAGGTGAATGAATGAATGTACAGTGGCAGTTGTTAAAGTCCATGTTTGCTAGCACTACTGCATGGATATCTGAAAAGACTGCTTACAACCAAAGGGCTTGGCTGCAGCTGTGCTCTGGTGGTTGGCAAGTAACTTTGATACTGATCAGTGTGGTCTTTGGTGTTGGCACTGCAAGTCACTGCAAGTCACTGCTTTTGACAATGCAGACCAGAAGCAGCCAAACAGGAGACAGGGCGACCTGCTGTAAGTTATAACAAAACTGTATGCATCAGATGCATCTAGACCAGACAGCAGTTGTGTGGAAGAGTATTGCATTTTAGACAACAGCAAAAACCTGTAATTGCTTGGCTAGATACTTGCGGCACTGAGAATATGGGGTAGTGGCTTTCTGCCTTCAACTTCATTGTGCTTAACTTGGCATTCACTGGGGGGTGAAGCTTGAAGTTGAAGAAGGTCTGTAGGCTCCAGTGACCCCCAGCACCATGTAGCCTCCCCAGCCAGAAGAGTCCAGATGGAAAAAAAGCAGTGGCTCTGTGCTTCAGAGAAGAAGTGATAGCCAACTGCCCTGTCTTTGTTAGGGAAGTTACATTCTTCGGACATGAGAAGTTGGGCATGTCAGGAAAGGGTTTTCATGCAAATCATCCTTCTGCCAACAGAAGGAACTAGAAAGATGCAATGTATGACATACAGGCTGAGCAAACTTGATAGCCAGGAGCTAAAAAAATAAAAACTTACAATAAAGCCTCAGTAAAATCTAAGGAACTGTAAGTTGCTTTTCAAGTAGCACTACTTCTGATCTCTACAGCAGAGTTACTGTGTGTTGGCCAGGAGCAGATGAAAGGCCAGTTGCTGTGACTTAGGTGCTCCAAGACAGTACATACAAATGGCAACAGTATGTTAAGTGCTAACATGCTAATGAAGAGATCAAAGATAGTTTGTATGGTGGCTCGCAGATTTTGGCAGTGCTCTGATGAATGGCAGCTGAGAAGTAATGGCAGGCACCCCAGTTGAGCCTTGAGTGACAGCACAACAGGCAAGCACAGAGAAGGGCTGGTAGGACCATGTTAGTGCAGAGCTTAACGTGGGCAAGATAGAAACATGGTGGTATTTACAGAGTGTCAGAATCTGCTAGCTGGCAATATTAGGTGCTAGACTAGCTCTCTGAGCATTGGAAGAGCACTTGGATCAACCATTGCAGATGTCAGACCATGTAAAATAGCTTCTGTTGGAAGATTTATAGACAGCAAGACTGAAAATAAGGTTGCAAACAGCCCTGATTCTTGCCAAGGAAGCTGACAACAGAGATAAGGCAGTAATGGCAATTTAAATTGAAATGTGACTGTTGGAGCCTGCTTTGGGATATTGTGGTCCTCTCTGCTGTCAGTGCAGCAGGAGCATCTGCATTGGATTTATAAAGAAGCAAACAGCACCTCTGGATAAGTGAGGATGAATAGAATGGTCAAGGGGGAACAGTGGATGCAAACTAAGGCAGTTTCTGCACAGGGAAATGAACGTAAAATTTCAACACGAGTAGGCATTCCTGTGCCTGTTTTAGTCTGTGGGTAAGAATAGCACTGAAGAGGAGTCAGGAGGGGTGTGAATATAGGTTAGCAACTGGAGTACAAGCCCCCAGGGACACAGGATTGCGTGGATTATGCCTACGCATGTTAGATTTATGCCATAACTGTTATGCAAACATCAGCTCCTTAAAACAAAAAAAAAACCCAACCAAAAAAAAACCCAAACACCCCTCCTCTCAACCCCACTCACTCCCCCTCCCCCCACCCAAAAAAAAGAGTCCCCAGAAAAAGCAGCAGCAAGATCAGTGAGGGGAGGGAAACCAAACCAAAACACCCCAAAACTCTGGCAGATGAAGATTAGAACTGCAGGAGAAAGAATAGGAGGATTCTGTGATACACAGGGACAGTGTCACTGAGGAAGCTGAGCAAGTGTATGGGACAGTAACAACTTGGTAAAGCTGCTTCTCAGTTTGTTGTTGGCTCCAGAAGATAACAGACCCTGGCAATAGGAGAAAAGCTGAGTAACGGGCGCTGTCTTTAAGAAATATTAAATCAACCAGCGTAGCAGACTGTTGACCATAAGGATGTAAGTGGGGGACAAAGCACCGAAATGCTGCTGCTGGGAAAGATGCAGCAAAGCAAAGGTGAGCAGAGAAAGCTGAACTGTTGTCAGCTTTGTGTGGATGAGACAGTTGATAAAATAACTGAGCTGACCAATACCACAACAAGAACAAAGCAAGGATGCAAAAGTGACTGTAATAATTAGGGAGTTTACAGACATATTGGCAAGAGGTCAAGTCTTGTGTTACAGCATGTTAACCAGAACAAGGGGAGTGTAGAGGCAAAGCTGAAGAAATACAAACTGAATTTTGACCCATGAAATCACGTGCTGACCAGACCTTTGCTGCAAGGATAGTTGCTGAAGAGAGCACTGAATGACACAAGCTGCTCATTACTGAGCTGAAGTTTTAAGAAAGCCTTCTCTGTCTTCTAATTCGCTCTGGAGCATCTTGATGTCATGGCACGAAATGATGAATAGCATCAGTGCAGAAGGCACAGCTACGGTGAATGTAAACTCAAGCAGATGGTGTCACGCAGATCCCAGTGTCATATATATGGCTGCACATTCTCTTTCTCCTTCCTGCTTTGCTTTGCTGTTAGCTTCATTATGTGAAAAAGCATAGCTGATACAATGCAGGAATTGTGTGGCTCAGCTGCAGGACACCACAAGCTAGGTTTTACTGAAGATACTTTTCTTAACTCATGTAAGGAGACGTTGAAAGGCTGCCTGGCAATGTGGAATAAAAGACTGCGTTAATAACCAGTTCTGAAAAGAAAAAATCTAGTAAGAATCCCAGCTAAAGCACTGTTAGAAAGTGAAGGAATACAGAGTTGAGTTGGTTCATGTGCCTTAGAAATAACAAACACTGCACTGCAATATCCAGAAAGGAATTAGGACTTGGCAAGGCACCAGCCTTATTCACCCCATCCAGCAAGATGTGGCTGTTGAAAAACAGAAACTTAAGGGTCGAACTCACATCTTGAACTTCAGTGTTATTTCTCTTCTACCATGCAAATGTGGTAGAAATATGCTAGAGCTATAGGCAGGCATGTCAATGTCTTTCAGGGTAGTGGCCTCAGGAAAAAGACTGAAGTATTAAATAGAATTACATTCACTGGCTTTTTGACATGATCAAAGTACAACTTTTTACCTCTAGCATTAACCAGAAAAGAAGGTGAAAGTACCTGAGACTTTGGATGACAGGAAAGCCTCTCTTACAGGAGGGAGAGGCAAAAGGAGGCTCTGACTAGCAGGGAGTGACAGTGCCTGGGGCTGAGGGGCACTGCAGGCTGGGTGGGATGATCTATCACTGCACCCCTGCTCTGCAGAGAGGGACAGCATCTCCTCTTTCTATTCTTTTCCCCATGGTTATAGTCCTGCTGGGAATGGTTTTATGTGCCTCTCTGAGGTCTATCTCAGCTTGACTCTTGGCAGTCCTTAAGTGCTCCAGAGCTTCCTTACCCCCTAAGCAAGATACATCTTGCAGAAGTCACTGGCCCCCTTCCCACATACTTCTCAGCTCATCTTAATGTTCGGGTTCATGTTCTTCCAGGTGACTCCCGGTGCTGTGGTTTGAACAGCTTTAGATTGAGTTTACACTGATGCAGGTGTGATGTGGGCTTTGGCAGTGCAGTCCCTACATCCAGGATTAATTTTTAGAGCATGTTAGGTACTGGGCCAACTCCTTCACTCTGACCTGCACCTGATGTCATGCTGGTATGGATGCTATTTCAGGGCATAGTAAGCTACCAGATAAAAGAGGCGGAGGGAAAAGGTGGACCAGAGAAAACATAATGTTTTCTCAATTCTGTAGCCAGTTGTCCATGGGAAACTGCCCCAGGCTCAGGGATGCAGGCAGTCCCACAGTATGGAGAACAGATTTCTCCTCCTTCATTGTTTCACAAATTGGAGTGACTTGAACTTTGTGTAGCTGAGGGCTTGGACTGTCCAGCCCAGGGCCTGAGTGCTGTCAGCTGCATGTTGGGATAGAAGACAGCAAATGAAAACCAGGTCCCTAAGTCCGGAATGGATTTAGGCATCCAGAGCAGGGCTCAAGTCAGTCAGTTCCCAGCCCAAAGCCTGTGAAAGGGTGGGCCAGGGCCCCAAATCAGTGTGTGCCGTAGCAGCTCATACATGGTATTTGCAGAAGGGAGACTTAAGCCCAAGCTGCTCAAGTTGGGGATGGACATCTTGCACTGACACCTGGACCTCTTCAGTGGCAGATTAGAGCATATGACAGCTCACAGCACATTGCAACCTGTAGGTGCTCTTTGATGCAAATCCTCTTGTCTGTCATGCCAGTAAGGGCTTGCACAGCACCCATGCTGGACGCTGTGGGGCTTGCATAAGCCTTTCTACGCTTGACTAACCTGTGTGATTGGCTTTCCTTCCCTTCTGCAGCTCATCTGCTCTTCCTTCGCATTAGCAAACATACCAAATGATCTCCTGGGTAGAGATGTGCCAACACCAAGAAATCCTTAACTTCCCTGCTTACCGTGATTAACCCTGTTTGACCTCCTCCCACTGACCCTGCTTGAGCAGGAGGGTTGGACCAGGTCCCTCCCCACCTCAACTGTTCTGTAACTCTGTGACCCAGCAGTCCTATCTTGCATGCAGCTTTACTCAAGTTTTCAGCCTGATACTGACATCAACTTGTCACCCCAGGATGGGAAGTGCTGAGCAACTGTGGCAGTTGGCTTGACAATGTGTGTGTGTGCCTCAGCTTAGCACAGCTCCCCTGCCTGGACCAAATGTCTGCATTGCCTGTTACCTGGTCTCTCAGCAGCTGAGAGTGGATGGTTTGGAAAGAGGAGGGCAAGGGTATGTTATCCCCTGCTTAATGCACATCCTCACTCTGGCAGTCTGTGCTCTCAGAGCTTCCAGGCGTTTGTGCAGACTAGTGTGACTGATGGTCCTTTGTGGACCCCTCTTCCATGAGAAGCCGCTCAGTGAGATTTTGGATTCCCTTCATTGGCCTGTTTCTCACTCCAGACATCACTGGTCCCTGTCTGCTGACTGGGTGCCTCCTGGCACAGGGGCAGGATGGGGTGAATGCCTGGAGGCTCCTGGAAGGTGCTGGGACTGGCCTGTCTGGGCAGAACAAGGAGAGCAGTGCACAAGCACTGGGACAGATTGAGTTGAGTAGGGGGAAAAATGGTTGTTGTGTAAATGGAAGTAACTGGGTCACTTGTGAGTGTCCCAGGCCATTTAGACAGGTAGGGATGTACTTGGGCTGTAGCAACCACCCACCTGCTCCCTTTGTTTTTTTTCTGGTAAAACAGTTCCAGCTTTATAGGCTTCCCATTTTAGCTAAAATTTTATTTCTTTATCTCTTAACCACTTGTTTTTCACGTTTCTGGTCACTCCCTTTCTTCTGCCTATGAGTGACTTTGCCAAGGTTTGTCCTGATCCTATTCTTGCTGGCACTGCATTTTTTTTCTTTCCTGATAGAAGGAGTCTTTTGTACCTTGCTCCGTTTCTCCTCCCCTTCAGTCTTTGCTTTCTCATGTCTGTGCTGGGAGATGTTTGTTCTGTGGCAGGTTTCCCTCTTGCGGTTTTATCCCTGGTACCTGTGTGCTCTGTCCCACCCCTGACCAGTGGTCTGAGCCTGTCCAGAAGAAACCCAGCCTAAGGCATATTATGGTCCTCTTTGTGCCATTTTCTTCCTGTCCTGATAACCTACGCATTAAGTGGAACTCAAGAGCAAACCTTGGTCTTCTGCACTCCAGAGAAAGGTGTACAAAAAACAGCCCATGGGACCACTGCTGTAGCCAGCTCCTGCTTCTGGTGCTTTACCACTCAGATCTTTTCCCTTCCTGATGTATGCACCAGTAGTGTATCCTTCCTAGCAGGATTCATGTAGTTTGGTTTCTGTCACACGGGTTTTGCTTAGTCCTTGCCTTTGCTATCACTAGGAAGGGGTGGCTGGGTTTTTTGGGTGATGGGACTGCAAAATAAATTTGATTTGTTATGCATTGTGAGGTCCTGTAGCTGGGTTGTAACAGGCCATGTCTCACTCTCCCTCCAGCCTACAGAGCTGTTTCCCCTGCTATGATGCCAGGGCAGATCCCTGACCCGTCCCTGACGGCTGGTGCGCTGCCTGGGCTCGGCCCCTTGACAGGACTGCCTGGCACAGCCCTGACTGCTGAGGAGCTGAAGTGCGCTGACATCCGCAACATCGGGGCCATGATCTCACCACTCCACTTCCTGGAGGTGAAGCTTGGAAAGAGACCCCAGCCTGTGAAAAGTGAGGTAAATCTTGGGGCTGCTGGCTGCAGATGACCCTGAGGGGCCATTGCCTTCACCTGCCTGGCTTTCTCTCCTGCCTGTGCCCCAAGCACAGGGTGCTTTCCTGCCAGGGTGGCCAGCAGTGTGTTTTATAAGCATGTTGTGCTGCCTGTTTGGTGATGTGCACATGTGTTGGTGGCTGCTCCATGAACTGCCTCTTCCCTGTGCCTGAATCTGTGTCCCTGCTGCATGGGCTGGGAGTGGTGGTCTCAGTGTCCCAGACCTGTCTGGTCCCATGCAGCTATTGGCAACCAGCTGAACAAAAAGCCTGCTTGTGGAGCCTGGTGCAGCTGGCATGGTCCTAAGTTGGGGCGCACACCCAAAGGAGAAGCCATGCAGCCTGTCAGAAGATTTAGAATCATAGAATGATATAACAGGGTTGGAAAGGATCTTAAGATCATCTACTTCCAACCCCCCTGCCATGGGCAGGGACACCTCACACTAAACCATGTCACCCAAGGCTCTGTCCAACCAGGACTTGAGCACCGCCAGGGATGGAGCATTCACAACTTCCCCGGGCAACCCATTCCAGTGCCTCACCACCCTAACAGTAAAGAATTTCTTCCTTATATCCAATCTAAACTTCCCCTGTTTAAGTTTTAACCTGTTACCCCTTGTCCTATCACTACAGTCCCTAAAGAAGAGTCCCTCCCCATCATCCCTGTAGGCCCCCTTCAGATATTGGAAGGCTGCTATGAGGTCTCCACGCAGCCTTCTCTTCTTCAGGCTGAACAGCCCCAACTTCCTCAGCCTGTCTTTATACGGGAGGTGCTCCAGTCCCCTGATCATCCTCGTGGCTCTCCTCTGGACTTGTTCCAACAGTTCCATGTCCTTTTTATGTTGAGGACACCAGAACTGTACGCCATACACCAAGTGAGGTCTCATCATTTGATGAAAGCATCATTTGCATGATGCTTTCATCCCACCTCAAGCCCTTGGTGCTGCTGGTGTTGGCGTTGCCTTTTCTGTGAGGACAAGGTGTGTGTGTGAGTGCTGTTGAGCAGCAGCAGTAATCCTGCCCTGCTGCTCTCCTCCTGGGATGGGGCAGGTGGCAGCTTCTGCTTGGTACCACAGGCTGGCATGTCAGAATCAGGCTACAGGGACTTGGGAGACACTTGCACAGCATTATCCTTGTGTGGTTGTCTCATGTGTTGGTTGTCCAGTCCTTGACTCCTTGACCCTTACTGTACTGGTGGTGAATGTTTGCACCTTGTACTGCTTGCAGGCAGAGCTGGGAACCCATCAGTTCAGAGACCCCGTGGTGATGAGGGTAGTGGCTGCTGTCAGGTCTGATAAACAACTCTTCTGAACAGTGCATTTGCTGCTGTGGATACCTCAGGTGATGCCATGTGAGGATGCAGCGATGTGCATCCTCTAGAGAAGTCTGTGAGGCAGTGATAGATGATGTGAAAAACTGTGATGAGCTGTGAGCTGAAGGGGGTAAAACATCAGGTCCAGGGAGCAGCCTGATCTCTAAATGGTGCTGACACGTGATTTGACCTAACATTCATGGCAAAAGCTCAGCAGCACCCGGGCCCACCTGTGGGGAGGGTGCCTGTTCCTTACCTCCAGCCCCTTGCAGTGGACACCTCCAGGGAGAGCTAGTAAGCTGGAGTCCATCTGCTAGCCTTGCATAGGTGCTTTGTGCCCAAGGGGGTGTCCAATCAGCTTGTGCAGCTTCCCATGGAGATCACCTGGAGAAGGATTGAGCAGTTCTGCAATGTCAAGAGCTGAGGCAAAGATGCTGTGGGAAGGCATCGGAAGGGCCTGGGGTATGCTAGTGGCTTTGGTCTCTCTATGGCAAAGCACTCATGGGTCGGCAACTGAAGCCAAACGCTGTCCCAAGCTCTCAGCCTGGGTATCCTACAGCAAATGCGGTTCAGTGCCCATCTTGCTTCATGGCTTGGGGAAGAAAGAGGAAGTATGTAATTGTGCTGTTTTCCCAGTCACAGCTCCTTTCTTGGGTGTCTCAGGCACCTCTGAGCTGGCCCTATAACAGCTGCTTTTGTTCCGTAGGCATAGAATCATAGAATCATAGAATAGTTAGGGTTGGAAAGGACCTTAAGATCAAGTTCCAACCCCCCTGCCGTGGGCAGGGACACCTTACGCTAAATCATATCACCCAAGGCCTCGTCCAGCCTGGTCTTGAACACTGCCAGGGATGGAGCATTCACAACCTCCCTGGGCAACCTATTCCAGTGCCTCACCACCCTAACAGGAAAGAATTTCCTTCTTATATCCAACCTAGACTTCCCCTGTTTAAGTTTTAACCCGTTACCTCTTGTCCTGTCACTACAGTCCCTAATGAAGAGTCCCTCCCCAGCATCCCTGTACCCCCCCTTCAGATACTGGAAGGCTGCTATGAGGTCTCCACGCAGCCTTCTCTTCTCCAGGCTGAACAGCCCCAACTTCCTCAGCCTGTCTTCATACGGGAGGTGCTCCAGTCCCCTGATCATCATCGTAGCCCTTCTCTGGACTTGTTCCAACAGTTCCATGTCCTTTTTATGTTCAGGACACCAGAACTGCACACAATACTCCAGGTGAGGTCTCACAAGAGCAGAGCAGAGGGGCAGGATCACCTCCTTTGACCTGCTGGTCACGCTCCTTTTGATGCAGCCCAGGATATGGTTGGCTTTCTGGGCAGCAAGCGCACACTGCCGGCCCATGTTCATTTTCTCATCAACCAGCACCCCCAAGTCCTTCTCCGCAGGGCTGCTCTGAATCTCAAGATTCATGGGATGTAGTCTCATTGGCCTCTGTGCAGCAGGGACAGGGCATGTGGGGTGAAGATAGGGGAAAATCCACTGACAGCCCCCACGTAGCCACTGTCCCTGCAGCCAGTTCCTCCCCTGCATATCTTGTGGAGCTGAGAACAGCAAATGGAGCTGCCTCTGGCACAGGCTTTGCAGTGAAAGCCTTCGGGAGCTGAAGCAGTAGCTGCTTATCCCATGAGCAGCCAAGAAGCTGCCCACGCATGATTTTGCAATGCAGCCTGCGGCTGCTTTCCTCTAGCCAGAGCCAGCGGACTCTGGGTACCAGCATGTCATGCTCTGTGCAGCGCCTGCAAGCTGGGGCACGGGCAGCTTCCTCTGCTGTGCTGGGGGGACCAGCACCTTCTGGCACTGAGTTGTTTGTCCCTGGGACTGCACACAAAACCCACCTCGCAGGGTGATGGGCATCCCCATTGCGCAGGCTGCCTTTCTCTTGGGGCAGCTGTTGACAAGTGCTGCCGGGCTCCTCAGGCTGGTGATCAACTTGGTTCCTGGTGCTGCTGACTGAAGCAAGTCTGGGTCAACCCCAGACCCGCAGGGCTCCCCTGGAGATCAGCTACTGAAACATGCTGTGGGGTGATACACCATCACTGTCTCACATACAGTAGAGTCCTAACCCCCAGCACCAGGGTCATCTAATGTTTTTGAACTGAAATCAAACAGAAGCAAAGAGGGGGAAAACTGCTTGAAGTTATAGGAGCTATGGTCAGAAACAGAGCCAAGAGCTCAAGCTGCCACTGTCTGTGCTGAGCTACCCTCCTTGAGCATCTGTACCCAGTGTAAAGGACATGGCCCTTTGCTGGGCCCTCTGTGGGGTGGAGGGGAAGCTGAAGGGGCAGCGAAAGGTCACTTTGATTCTTACTGAATGGAGCAACTGGGCATGGAAGTGTTCTCAGAGATACTGTGGGGCCTGGGCAGTTGCTGTTGGCTCTTCCAGTTCCTGTTTTACAACCCCAGCGGTACTTTGCAAGAAAGTTTGGGCTTCGTGTATTGAGCTTTGGAGTTCTGAGCACATGTCCTCTCTCTGCACCCTGCTAATAAGCCTTGAACTAAAAGGCCAAGAAGCTATCCAAGGGGTAGATGAGTGGAGGGGAATGGTGGCTACCCTGATGTCCGCCTCCTCTCAAACTCTTCATGGTAATTTTCTAAGAGCTGCTTATGCCTTTGCTATGGGGTATCCTGGTCCTGCCAGGAGGAAAAGGCAGCAGAGCATGGAGTTAGAGCTTTCCTGGTCACTTGTGCTAATGCCTGTCATGTCTGAGTTACATGGGTGCAGTGAGAGCTGGTCACTTGTAGCTGGACTTGGAGGCATCAGTGCAGCTCCCATCCTGGCTTTCCCATGCACCATCAAGCATGGTGTGTGATGCCCCATGGCACTGCCTTGGGAATCAGGCATTATTGAAGTCTATGAATGGGTTGTGCTGACTTTGTAGCAACTTTGGAATAATGTTTGGGAAGTAAGGTAGAGAAAATGCAAAAGCTACTAGTGCTAGGAAGCCTGGACATCATTTTTCTAAAGCATTCTATACATGCTGCATATTGGACATGCAACTTCCTTCATGTACCCCTTCACCTTAACTGTGCTGAGTCAATGTCTTATCCTGACCTTGCACATCACATTGACATGTTTTGATCAGTGGGCTTTGGACTCTTGTGGATATTAGCAGTGTGCACAGTCTGCTGTGGATGATGGCACATACAGCATTTGTTTCCTGCAGATACCACCAGTGTACCTACATGTGGGGTGATTTGGTGGCCCCCTACCCCCACCATGCTCTGTGACCTCGGAAACCTGTGACCTTTCATTTGAGGTGACTCAGCCCAGCTCTAGAGCAGCAAGGCTGTTCAGATGGTGTGTGCTGCAAGAGGCTCGTCTGGCAGATGTGTCCTTCAGCCACACTGACTTGGGAAGGTACTAGGGGAAGGACATGCCTTTTCTGACTGGACCTGCACTTGGAGAAGGTGCAAATAGGCTGTAGAAGTGCTCATAAAGCAAATGTTTCTGCCGCTGCATTTGAAAGGATTTGTTCTGTCAGGTATTTGTTGATAGGCATGAGGCAGTTGTCCGGTATCTCAAATTTCAGAGTCCCAGGTCAAAGCTTGAAGACACATGAGCTTGAAGACACTGGGGACCTTTACTTCTTTAGCCATGCTACAAAGCATAAGCTGGATACCGACTTTGCAAGATATTCCAGCACTTCAGATATTTCTTGAAGAAACTGGTTTGGGTTCTCAGATGTAAGCATGCCATAGGCCATTTCCTCAAGCTTTGTAGTAAATATCCCTAAATACTTTGATTATGGGTTTCTAACCCATAGGGCTTGGGGTTTGAATTAGACATCACAGAGCAGCTGAGTCATGGTGAACAGCGCAGGTACTGCCGTGTCCTGCCTCTTTACAGGGGATGCAGGACCTGTCACTGTGGTGGTCCCCTGACAGCCAGTGCTGAAGCTGCAGCAGACAGTCCCATGGACTGGAAGGGGGAAACAGCAGCCAGGCCCTGCTGGGGGACCTTGCAGGTTTCTCTGCCTCTCACCCTGGGCTCTGTGCGTGATGCTTCGAATGACTGTGCTCACAAAGCTGTACCTGTAGATGTCTGTGTGATGAACTGTGCTCGTCTTTGTGGGTTGGGGCTGTGTTCCCCTTGTCTCCCCCATCTCTCAGCGAGGGAGCAGCCCTGCAAAGAGTTGTATGTCCCTGCCAGCTGTGGGTACCACACTGGTGGAGTTAAAGGCCATGGCAGCAGCATGCTTGGTTGCTGGTGAGGATTAGTCCACATCACTGGTGGCCACTGGCACACATGGCTGCCAGCCCTCTTCTTGTCCTGCCTGATGGGGCTGCTAGTGCTCGTCCCTGCCTCTTGACCTGCCCCACACATGCCGGCTCTGACCTGGGCTTCTCTGTCTTATTGCAGCTGGATGAGGAAGAGGAGAGGAGGAAAAGGCGCCGGGAGAAAAACAAAGTAGCAGCAGCACGATGTCGTAACAAGAAGAAGGAGAGGACGGAGTTCCTGCAGCGGGTGGGTGCCCTGACCTCTGCCAGGGCACAGCAGGGACCTTGGCAGGAGCACTTCCTTAGAAAGGTGCCCTAGCTGTGGGCAGCACTCCCTCCTGAACTACCCCCTTTTGCTCCTGTGCCCTTACTGGCAAAATACCAGCCCAGTGACCCCCTTTCCACAAGGCTGTGAATGTGGTGGCTAGGCAGAGCTTACAAGCATCCCTGTCTGTGCCCATGGTACCAGGGATGGATGGGGCTAAAGGTGGGCTCTGGGGCCTACCTTCAGAGGGCTAAAGGAGGGCTGATAGTGTCCCTGCATTAGGAGGAACACCCATGAGAGTGTGGCACAGGATAGGGGCTGACCTACCCAAGTTCCTGAAGGTTTCCCCGTTAAGAGGCCAAATGTCATCTCACCTGTGACCCCAAGGCAGCAAAACTCTTGCAGCACCTCGCTGCTTTTCTGCAAGGGGTGGTAGGACATGGGCAAATGACACACTGGAGGACAAGGACCCACTTCACAAGGGCAAATCCTTGCAGATGGGGAGTAAAAACTTAAATGAGGGTTTGTTTCCCAGCCCTCTTCCAGACCATGGAAAGCACCCAGGCAGCGTTTTTGCTGTGGTGCAGCAGAGACCTGTCCTAGGAGATGGCTCTGTGTTTTTTTGTGGTAACACTGGTAATGCAAGGCAGCGGGGATGAACTGCCTGCAGGACCTGTGCCTTTGCAGGTCCTGAGGCTGCTTGTGTGCTGCACGGGCTGAAGGACAGCACTGAGCAGAGATGGCTTGTTGGACAAATTGTTTCTCCTTCTGTCTTGTCCTGTTGAAGTAAAGTCACATACGGTTGTGTTTCTGTCCTGCTAGGAGTCTGAGCGTCTGGAGCTCATGAATGCTGAGCTGAAGGCACAGATAGAAGAGCTGAAACAGGAAAGGCAGCAGCTGATCCTGATGCTGAACCGGCACCGTCCCACCTGCATCGTGCGGACAGACAGCATCAAGACGCCTGATAGCGAAGCCAACCCACTGCTGGAGCAGCTAGAGAAGAAGTGAAGGTGGCACTGGGCCAGGAGGAGGAGACAGTGGCGCAGGGTATTCCAGGGTTTCTAATGTATGTACTGTATGAAGAACTGTGCACCCAGGCCTGGTGCAGCCAGTGCCCAGTGGGCTTCCTTGGGAACTATGGACCAAACAAATACGGGGACAGAGAAGATCAGGAACCTTCAACTATGTACTGTTGAGGCTGAACCAAGGAGCAGGGCTAGTGGCGCCGGTGAGGGCAACCTCCCTGTGATACCTCATCATGGCCCTTCAGCCTGCTCACGGCCCTCGGGGCCCACAATGCCGCAGCACGTCCAGCGACGACCACATGCCCCATGGGGAGAGGGCTGCGTGGTTCCCACCAGCTCTCTGCCCAGCGGCTGCTGCTGCTCCTGGCACATGCTCCGGAGGGAATCCCGCACCCAAGAACCACAAACACTTGATGCAGCCCCATGTGGTGGGCAGGCCTGTCGGGGCTCGGTGGCGCAGGCGCCCCCCGCAAGCACACTCAGTATAATGTTTACAGCCCAGCTGTCCATGTCGGCCGTGCTTTTGAATGCACATTTTTACACTTTTTTAAAGTATTTTTTACAAAGTTTTTATACAGCGATCTCTATATGGATTTATATAATCACTAGATGTGATCCCATAGAAATGTATGTTACGATGGTCCGTTTGTTACAAATGCATATGCCACAGTTATCTCCATTGTGTTACTTGTCTGGTAGCATCTGGTTTCTTTCCCAGCATGCTGGGAAGGAGCTCCAAGCTGCCCTCTGCAGTGGTGTCGCTACCCTCTCCATCCATGTATGTCCTTCATAATATTCAGTTCTGTATCTCTCAGTAAATGTTACCTTTATGTATGTTGTCCTCCTGTGCTCTCTCCAGGTGAGGCCATGGTGGGCTCTGGCCAGAGCGTGGCACTGTGGCAGCATATGCCAGGTCTGACCAGGCCAAGTGCATTCCTGGCTGAGTGGGATGGTGGAGCTGATCCCTTTCTGGTGGTTCTCTGTAGTAGCAGCTATGGGCCAGGGGAATTCACCATGGGGAAGTTGGGAACCTTGGCGAAAGCTCTGTCCATTGTCAAGCAAGAAGTAGCTCAGTGCTGCACCAAAGAAGGCCTGCAGGGCATGGTTTGCCAGCTGGAAAGGCAGAGGTGTGAAACAGGGGCACCATCTCATCCTTACCTGGTCCTTGTTTGAAGTCTGAACACAGCAGCTTGAACTCCTTTGAGGAGATAGAGATGGGGGAGCTATCACAATGTCCTTGTGGTGGTGATCCCTTCATGGAAGAAGGTGGAGGACAGTTCCTTTGGGTCTCTGCTGGGTCCAAGCCTTGCCCCTAACTGATGTGCTGGGAGACCTCCTAAAGGTTCTCCTGGACTTCAGCCAGAGTTGAGCACAGGGGTGTGGAGGTTGAGAAGATAATCAGCCAGGTATGTTTCAGGTGCTGGGACTGAAAAGTTAACATCCCCATACAAATAACCAAGCCCTGACACGATTGCTGTGTTCCTGACTCTTAGATATGGAGGCAGTGAGAAGGTACCTTGATCTAGACCAAGCAGACCATATCTCAGCATCCACGAAGGGTTGTCTCAGAGGAGCAGTGGTGCATCCAGTCTTTTCTCAGGCGGTGTCCTACCCATTACTAGTGTGGATGAGGCTACTTAGATGCAAACTGCAAATGAAAGAAGCTTTCAGTGTCTGGTACAGGTGCACACTTGAGCCAGGAGCCCTGAAGCAGTGGTGGGGAGAAGATGAGCTTGACCTAAACGTGACAACAGCATGAGAGGAGGCCTTCCCTGAGCATGGCTGCTTCTCTAGTGCATGTTTCAATCTTTGTAGTCTCCTTTTCCAACTGTTAACCTCCAGGGCTATACAACATTAGTCCTTTCCCTGTTTCATACTTCTTCCTGGAGTTCCTCTCCCTTTCCATAAATTCTGTTTTGGGGACCTCCCAGAATGCTGCCAGTAGCCTTATTTAGTGTGAAGCATGTTGGATGTGTTACAGACAAACTTTTTGCCCTGGGAGGGCTAGTTGTCTGAGGTGCTTGGAGGGATGTGCAAGGGCAGGACCTGAAGCAAAGCTGGTGGAGAAAGGCAGTGTCTGGCCTGGCTTCCACTGCCCGCTGGCCAGCTGTCCCTCTGTACTTCCTTCTGCCCAGACACTACGGTGGTGGCTCAGACCCATTTCTCAGCTGCTAGCTGGAGCCAATCATTATGCATAGAGGAACACAATGCCTCTCACCGAGCTCTGCTGGAAGGACACAGAGCACTTGCTGGGCCTGCTCCTCTCTTCAGGAGCTTTATTTCTCTCTGCAGAATATATGTGGTAGTGAATTCCTGGGCTTCTGAAAGTGTCAGTTTCCTCTTGGGTGGTCAGTGGGAGCTCTGCATGGTGTGTCAGAGGATCCAGCAACAGGCATCTCATGCTTTTTGCTCATCTGGGGAGCCTGTGCACTCATCTCCACCAGCCACACACCTTCCAGCAGCACTGGTTGTGCTTGCATGGCCCTTCTCTGGCAAACGGCCACACTGCAGTAAAACTTCCTGCTGTGAAAACAGCTGGCTTGCAAGAGAAATATAAGGTGCCCTTTGAAACCAAGCATCAATTTAATGCTCAGGTACTCTAGCCAAGGCTTATGCAGGCAGTATGCAAGTCCCAGCAGTGCCCAGATGGGTTTTTGCCTAGTCTCCTGTATATCTTCCAAACAGCCTCCTTCTGCATTCCAGTCAGTACCAAGAGGTTTGCCACTCAGTTTGGGAGATTTCTTTTCAGAGGACTTGGTTAGTTTAAGACCCAATGAAGTTAAAGTAGAGGGTTTAAAGCAGTTAAGGCCTCTGTCCCATAAGTCACAACCTGAGAGTGTTGAATGGAAAAGGCTCCCATCTCTGCACAGCCCTGGGCTGAAAACTACTCCTGGTACCTGTAGGAGACAGGCTATTTGATATTCCTGACTCTTACCGTGTGTCCTCGCCAACCCTCCCTTAGCAGAGGTACAAATATTGCCATGTGACCCAGGGACACCTTTCAGGCTGCTGCATTACAGTGGCATCTCCTGGGCAAGGACAGGAGCAGTGGGCATGTGACAGGCACAGCCCATGTTGCTATGTGTCAGAAGGGTGCTCCCAAACCCAAAGAGCAATTGTTGTACCTGTGGCCACGTCCATCCACCTGGGTGTCCTTCTGGTAATGTGGACTAGCTTGGACAATGCAAGGGACACAAAACCACAAGGGAAGAAGCCCAGCAGCCTCCTGGCCTGTATCAGCAATAGCGTGGCCAGCAGGGCCAGGGCAGTGATCATCCCCCTGTACTTGCACTGGTGAGGCTGCACCTCGAATCCTGTGGTCAGTTCTGGACCCCTCACTACAAGAGAGATACTGAGGTATCTGGAGTGGGTCCAGAAAAGGGCAACAAAGCTGGTAAAGGGTCTGGAGCACAAGTGTGGTGAGGAATGGCTGAGGGAACTGGGGTTATTTAGTCTGGATAAGTGAAGGCTCAAGGGGGACATTATTGCTCTCAACAGCTACCTGAAAGGAGGATGGAGCCAGGAGGTGGCTGATCTTCTCCCAAGTCACAAGAGACAACAGCCTCAAGCTTCACCAGGGGAGGTTTAGGTCTGATACTGGGAAAAATTTCTTCACTGAAAGGCTGCCAAGGGAAGTGGTGGAATCACCATCCCTGGAAGTGTTCAGAAGTCGTGTAGATGCCCTCACTGACAAGGTTTAGTGGTGGACTTGGCAGTCTTAGGGTAAAGGTTGGACTTGATGATCTTACAGGTATTTTCCAACCTAGATGATTCTATGGCATCTCTCAAAGGTCATCCAGCCACCTCTTGGCCTTCCCACGCCCGCACACCCTGTGCGGGGTGTACTGAAGGCCACGACCACTGCAGAGCTGCGGGTATCACGGACTTCGGCTCGGTGCCAGTGGTGCTGGAGCTGATCGTCTGACGGACGTGAGGTTGCTGCCAGCCCCACGTGTCCCGCGGCAGCCCGCCGTCAGGCCGAGCCCCTGTTCCCGACGAGCACACCCGCCTGTCCGCAGGCCTGAGGACCCTCTGAGGGCGGCGGTGCGGAAGCCTATCCCGCCGGCAGGGGGAGCTGCGCGGCCGCGGGAGCCGAGGGGCCGGGCCGGCGTGCAGTCTGCCGGCGGGAGCGGGACTAAGCCGCGGGGGCCGGAGCCGGTGGGTGCTCCTCCGGGCTGAGCCGCAGTTCCGGCCCTTTCACCGCCCGGGCACCAGGCACCAAGGGCTGGAGCACCTCTCCTGTGGAGACAGGCTGAGAGAGGTGGGCTTGTTCAGCCCCGAGAATAGAAGGCTCCAAGGAGACCTTAGAGCAGCTTCAGTGCCTAAAGGGGGCCAACAAGAAATCTGGAAAGGGACTTTTTAAGAGAGCACGTAGGGATAAGACAAGAGGCAACTGTTTTAAACTGAAATGGGGCAGATATAGATCGGATATAAGGAAGAAGGTCTTTACTGTGAGTGTGCTGGGGCACTGGAACAGGTTGCTAAAGTTGTGGCTGCCCCATCCCTGACAGGGTTCAAGGCTGGGTTGGACGGGGCTTTGAGCAACCTGGTGTAGTGGAAGGTGCCCCTGCCCACAGCAAGGAGGTAGAACTAGGTGATCATTAAGGTTCCTTCCAACCCAAACCATTCTATAGTTGTGGTGCCATCCCATGATATCAGATGGTTCTTGTCAGAGATGTGAGCCATTTCCCAGCCATTTCATCTGCAGGCCCCTCTGCTTTGCAGGGTACCTGAGGTGGCTTGACAACAAGAACCACCAGCAGTAACTCCCAGGGTGCCACCACCCCCCTCTTGCACATGCTCAGCTCCTGTTTCGTGAGATCCTCATTCAGGATCCTTCCTACACTCATCAGTTCAGGCAGGAGCTTTCCCCAGGGCATGATACCGCATTTTTCCTGAAGCCCAGGCAGATGAGTCCCATCACATTTCCATTGCTTAGATGCTTATCCCAGTTCCCTGATGTCCTTTCCGTATTACTCCTGTGCAAAAGCCACTCCCATGTATTCTTCCCCAGGGAAATTTGGGTGCCACCTTGCCCCAAAACACCAGGCCAGAGGCAGTGCTGGGGTGATGGGCTGGGGGTCCAGATACTGTAGTTTGGTGTGAGTGCTCCACACTCCATGCCTGACTTCCTTTTTCCCATCAGACTCCTGGCAAGTGGCATGGCCCATGGGCAGCAGGAACCCAGTTTCCCCACAAGGATCTCAGTCTTGCCAGCTCCTCACCCCTGTCTCCCGCAACCAGCTCATCCCAGAGTGGTTAAGCAGCCCATTGTGCTCCCCAAAGCTTAGCTATGGCTCCTTTCCTTTCCTCCTCCTTTTCTTCCCACTCACTGCTCCATGTCCCCCCCACTGTGTGCTGCCCTGGGTGCAAGGGCATCCAGCCCCCCTGTCCTGTGGTTCATCATGGGCAAAGGATGCTTGGAGGCCGTTACTCTGCAGCTTTTCATGGTATTGTTCTCACTTTGTGTTTGCCCTTCTCAGTAGGGGCTGAAGGGACTCCGTGACACTGTGGTAAGAAGCATTAATTAACCTTTGACAGTGATCTACCTCTCTTGTTTCATTTTGAGCCAAGGGCAGCAGGTAATCATTTATCTTTGTCCTCATTGGTTCTTCTACTCCACTTAATGGAAAACAAGCCCCAAAAATCCCCAGCCTTGATATTTATCAAGAGATATGGAAACTTCTTTGATTACCATGGATGCCAGCCTGCACTGAGTGGCACTGGCCCATGGTTGGGCAGCAGGACCGAAACCTGGCTATACTGCCAGGATGATTGTAGAGGAATGAGGAAAACCAAACACTGCTTCCCTCAGCCTGGAAATATCATCTGGC